GGGAGCGGCCTGTCGGCCCCGGCCTGCCTCGGTCGGAGCCGTGCCTTGGGCTGAGGGGGCCCTCCCGGCGCTCAGTAAGGGGCGGCCGGTGCCAGGTGTGGGGCGGTGACTTCCCCGTGGGGTCCAGTCGCGGCCCTCAGCTTGCCCTGTGGCCCCTGTCTCAGCAGGGGCTTGGGCTTGCGGCACACTTGCCACAGCATTGCTCGTAGCTTGCGTGTCAAGAGCTTGAGCCCTTACTATGGCCGTGCGGGGCAATGAGTCAGTAGGATCGTGGGTTTATGCTGTTTGCCCACATTTTGAGAGAACCATGCCATGCTGGCGTGGCAGGCCGCACCACAGTACGGTCTCGGTGGAGGACTCGGAGTGTGGTACCTGGGGATTTCAATGTATCTCACGTTCCAGCCTTGAGTCATTTAATCATCTTGCATTGCTGGAGAGGTGGGGAAAAGGTAGGAGACAGTGATTTTTAAGAGCACAAGGATCCTGATTTTATTGCAGCATCAATGCGTTTGATGCGTTGTCACCAGATGGTACAAACTTGAGGTTGTAGATCTCCCGTGCCAAAGCAGAATTTCATAGGCTACAGAAGTCCCATTCACTGGAGAAATCTGGAGGAACTCACTCATGTTTGAGAGTGAGAAACCCAGAAGGAAATACTGACCAGTGAATGCCCCGTATCTTTGGATATTACTTAAGACTCCCAGAAAAAAGTAGTTACCATGAAAGAACAATTTGTGTTGTGTTACTTTATGACTATACTGCACATGTAACAACACATTAATGTGGCAAAGGGTTTTTTGAGATAACATATTTTCTTTACAGACCGGTGAATACATCTGCTACACTGGTGTAAATTCAGAGTAATTCAGTTAAGTGAAGTCAGAGCTATAATACTGTATTTTGCAATTGTGCCTGATACATGCTTTCCAATTAGCGCAGCACAGACCATGGACTTTGAGTCACTTTCTGTTTGAACACAAACTTGATTTAAAAAGCCCAGTAACAGGTCAATTAATAACTAAAAATTATTAAGGATATGGATAAATTCTGAGTACTGAAAATACATGCATCACAGAGAGTGTATAAGTTGTTCTCTCCTAACTCTGGCCATTTAAAATTTTTACAAAGCTTTGGCTATTTATTTTGAATTGTAAAATCTCATTCTTTTAGCTTGTTGAAATACTGGTGTAATTTTACAGTTGATGGATAGAGAGTGATGGCTTTCAGTGAAGTTAGAAGTCAGATACTAATCTAACTGAACATACTCCCACACCTAACAATTTTGGTTTGGACAGTGAGTGAAAGAGGAAGAAAATGAATGCATACTACAACTGTTATCTTCCTTTACCTACATGGATACGCTGGGAGACAAGGAGGCAGCTTTTGCCTGCAGTGTAGACTTCCTGGATAGCTCAAAAAAACCCCATGAATTCTTACTCAAAAGTCCTTAGTAAAATACCTGAAGAAATAGCTTGACTTTTGCTGTCTTATAATATGAAGCAACATTTTTCTGACACAAGTCCATCTGGAGTTAATGTTCAGCATGATTTAACATAGAGGTTTTTTTTTTCCCCCAGGTCAAAAGTGAAAGATGAGTGAAAAATGTCCAATTTTTACAACCGCTCGTAGACAGCGTGTTGCAGAGGTAAGAGTAATAGTTTCTGACAATTCACAGAAAACAAAGAACCAAAATTGTGGCATGCTTGGCAGAAACTTCCTGGCTAGTTGGAGCCAGAGGTTTTCTCTCTCAGCATATCCCCTAGAAAGCATTTGGTGAGCAAGCCGTGTAGAGGGTCCCCAGACAGTAGTCAGAGTAGGGAGTTGTAAATTGTAAAGTTGTAAATTGCTGCGATCACTGTTTTTTTCCCCACGTGTATGTGCAGGCAGCACAAGACTGAGCTGTGCCTGTGGCAAGAAGTATGGGGTTACTGAAGGATGTTTTGCCTTTTTTTTTTACTTGCTGTTTGGTGAATAATTTTGGTTGCCATTTTAAGTAGCTTCTGGATTTGACACACTACTTTCCGCAGATCTGCATGCTTTGTTATTTTAAACAGAGCTACAAGGTTTGATTTATGTTGAAAGCATGTAAGAGGTCATAAACTAGTTTAGGTCTTTCTCCTGTTTTGGTTGAAATCAATGTCTTTGCCTATAACTGAGTAGCATCAAGGCCGTATGCAAAGTAGCTCAATTTTTTTTTAACTGTTTTTCAGCGGAAATCCAGAGATATAGTTCCCAATGAATGCAACCACTAGGACATCACTTAAAATTGAAGTAGATGTTTTAGATTTTAATTTGGATATCTCTCATCTATAGGTTAATATCACAGATATTGCCTTGTTTTGGCTGTTTTGCATAGATGTTTTAGGAACATACACTACCAACATTACGAACTATAGCTACAGTTCAGATATTTATAAATGGCTGTTGTCAGATTTGAGATGGAAATCTCATGAACCACATTGTTCATACCTCAGTTGAAAACCCAGACCGTTAACAGAGCTCCCAGATTTTCTACTTTTGTGTCGGTGTTTGCACTTCACTGGAAAGGCAGGGTGTGTGAAATATTGGGCCAGTATTGCAATGGAATGGAAAAGTTATAGCTCCAGGAGATGGCACTGTGTCCTCTCTGGGCTGAAAATTACATACATAGCTTTGAAACGTACATTCAGAACCCATGAGAATCTGAGGGGTTTTGCTCTTTCTTGTTATGAAACACACATTTCATTGTAGACCTAAATTCATCTTTAACTGTCCCAAATACAGTACTTCATCGCTTTTCTCTTTGCAAATAATTTATATTTAAATGCGGATGTTTTACCCTTATCAGTACAGTGCCTTGTATTTTCACACTACTGTCACGGTGCTTCTCTGCGGTATGTGCTTTGTAGCCACTTGGAGGACTGGAGAAACAGCAATGGGAACATTTCCTGATTTTCCTGAGGTCGTGTGGCAGTTCAGGGCTCTCGGCTGGTTTCAGAACTGGGCTCCCCTGCGTAGCAAGTTGCAGTTGATAATGCGTAAGTTCCTCTGGAAAACACAAACCCAAGCATATTAAAAAACGGTTTCGCTACCAAATTGCCTACTAAGCAGAAAAAAAAGAGTCTCCTAAACCGGTTCTGGCGTTGTTGTTCGGCTGGGAAGGAGGCGCTTGCCCACTCAGCTTTCCGTGGGGCGTTTGAAAGGAAATAGCTGACACGGAAAAAAAAAAAATAGAGTTTTATTTGCGTTGCAAAATCCGCCGGCTGATACCCCCGGGCCGACCCG